CTACCAATGCGATTCTCTTGTTTACAATTGGTTAGTGCTACGATTTAGTGAGTTAAACTTGAGTCTTTCATCGGATATTATGTTTTATTGCTTTTCATTGGGACTAATTGGCTATCGTTTGAGTTTACTATTAGTGTTTGATTTTTGCTAACGGCACACCCAGAGTGTATTAAATAAATAAATAAATAAATAAATTTTGGTTAAAGCCCCAGCAAAAATTCACGAACACTCTGTCTGTATAAGGAGTTTCGTGCTGATTGTATGTACCCACGATTCTGGTGTTTTATTAGCTTGACATTCAAATCACATTACTTACAAAATCTCTAATAAACGTAGTAAAGTAGCACATCGCTATGTTCAGCGAAAAACAAAAATTGAGTGTTTTAGAATATTTTGAAACAAATTTTTTTTCACTTGATACAAGACGGTGGACCAGTCATTATATAGAATTTTCGAATTCCATGCTAGATTCTCAGAACTTTTTTTGGTTTCTCATACCCTTCACACCCTACCCGTAAATTGAACTGATTTGAACATTTCTTCTTTTTCTTCTATTTTTCACTTTGGACAACGCTACGACCTTCACACCATCCCGCACGTACACACATTCCGGTTATGGACGCGGCTATTTTTAGATGATTAATTATGGCGAAAACGTCGCTTCCGACGTTTTCTGTCACTACATTCCCGGCCATATATCGTTGCGCGTTCAGACTTGCGATATTTATTTCCAATTTCTTGCCCTTCCGCGTTCCGCGTTCATCGCGCCTGGCTAGGCAATTCTCTTGGATGAACGATTTTGTTGAAGTTCTGCAGCTACATAGGAGTAACATTTAGTCAACTCCTATATCTATATGACTGAGATTGTTTCGAAAGTCAAAGAAAACCTCAAACTGACTTTTTGGGGAGATGGGGGGGGGGGGGGGAGCGTGGACTTACTGTGACAATTCACCGGTCCGCAGGACAAGCGAAATTTGCAGTGGATCCGCAGAGTTTTGTTTACTATTGCAAAAGTGGAAGCGTTGAAAATGGGAACTTCCGCAGGACTTTTTACAAAGCGCTGCGGAACTTCTGCGAATTGTCAGCGGTTCCGCAGCACTTTGACTTGCCAGCGCTTCCGCAGGGTTTTGAATGTGTTGCCTCGCTAACAACTAGAGTGCATCACCGAACATGTCATCCATAGTGGAGGGTAGTAGGTAAGTCTTGCAGTCAATAGAATAAGGTTCAGATCTCGCTTAGGTGTTCCTTTTTGCTGTTGTAGTTCGCATTGTTCGGAACTTCCGCAGCACTTATACGGAACTTCCACAAGTGACCCGGCGCTTTCCCGAATGTTCTGCGGAAGTTCCGGTCAATTGTCTGAGTAGGTAAATTCAGTCTCTAGATGTTATTGTTAACGAGTACGATAATTTACTCAATCGTTGAAACAATGATATATAGGAGTCAGTAGTATCTTTATGGGGGAGACCGCAGACCGCGCGCGGTAACTTACGACCTCTTACGCAATAGTAGGAAAGGCGATAAGAATGAAATAAACCATTGGATATCGGTTATTTACGCTTGCTCATACCCGTTTACGCTTAGGAATGCATGAGAAATTGCTTAGTTGGCAGCGCGTAAGCAGAAAGTCGTAGATTACTGCGTTTGCTGTGCAATGCACACATCGAGCTACAACGGAATCGATATAGTAGTAATTTTATAGCTCTTTTTGTATACTCTTTGTTTACATTTTTTTGTATTTTGAGCAGTTTTTAACCATGATGTGGTGAGTAATAGCATTTTCATTTCTATGAATTTACTAGATCAACTTTGTCTGCCTATTAATTATCTATTCACCTACCTCTGCGGTTTTTATTCAGTCTTTTTCTCAAAGAAATTGAGTATCTGGTCTGTTTTCCATAAAAATATTTTTCTGAGTTTTCATAAAATTCTTCTCGAAAATGCTCTTATATGATTGATCGAACCCTTTCTGCCTTTCCACTTACACGTGGTGAACAGATGCTTGTTGTTCTCAGCAACTTCATCAGGCTCGAATTTTTTCATGGAGGTAGGGGGGTGAGACTGGAGAGACGCAACTAAATTCTAGGAGAAGGTTCCGGCTGATTTTTGTTAGAATGATTCATTGTAAGCTACATATTTCGATCATTTACCTAGAACCAAGCTACATACTTGATAACTTTGCAACTCATGCAGAAATTCTGAAAAATTCTAGCGACTAATTTTTGCGGAGCTTAAATTTTCCCTTCCTTGCCGATTTGTGTTTAGATTCTGATATGTTCGTACGTATCTCCAAATATAGGCATTTGTTTGCTGCGATATCGTCCTCACAGCCTAAAAATACGTCTCTAAGCTTATCGAGCTCATTGTGCAAATATTTTCGCTACACACGACACTTCATACATCTTTGGATGCTTAGCAGTGCCCCCTCCCCTCTCCCTCCCCCCCCCCCCCCGAAAATGGGTCACAAAATTCTTGGAAGTTATTTACATATAGGTATCATCGAATTGTGCAAGTGACTTGGCCTTTCTTTTGAATAATCATAATAATTTTGAGAATTTTTAAAAATTCGAGTTAGCCTAAGATTTTGAACTGCGGGCTAACGATTTATCCGAGAAAATTCTCCTTCCCTCCCCCCCCCCCCCCCCAACGGAAATTTTGGGTACGCCACTGAGCCTAGTGAGCGCAGTAGATGCAATAGTTGAGGTGAAAAGTGGAAAAGCGGAAGGCGGGAAAGGGGGGGGGGGGGGTAGAAATAGAAGCGGTTCTTTTTTGGTCTGCTTTCTCGTGTGGGGAATCAGAGTTCAGTCGCATTGTTGTTCGGTTCAAAATGGAAAAAATACAAGGGGGGGGGGAGGAGAACGGGTGGAGCGGAAGGCGACTGCGAACGCCATCAATCATCGATTCGCTTCCGTTTTTTACCTAGCACTGTCAGTCTTCAATCATAACTTGTACGTGCGAAGTTGGCAACATTATGGAAAATGAATGAAAAAATAAATTTGATTTCTCACGAAGCTCGACGAGCCCTCAAACTTGATTGATTTATTTATTTAACCTAATATTTCTCACATTTTATCAATAAATGTTTGGAAATGACTAAGTTTTGTCACATTTTATGGAGGAGTATTGGCAATAGTTGAAAAAATTTTTTTCTTTATTTTGAATGTTTTTCTTTTTTTATACTTGCTAACGTTTAATCATAGAAATAGAGAATTTGCTGTTTTCCCATCAATAATAGTCCAACAAGCAAAAATGAAAATTAATTTATTGAAATATTTTCACTTTTTATGCTGTACCTATATGGTCGGATTTTTTCAAATTTTTTATCATATTGCTTACTTTGTTTGTTTTTCCCTTTCTAATCCATTCTGTTCTTCCCAAAATAAGAGTTGTTACCCACATGTTTTATTCGTAGCCAGAAAACAGCAAATCCAACTCCTCGCCCAGTACAGTACTCTATGGGCAACCCACTGCGAAAATACGGTACTGGGCGAGAGTTTATGTATGAATATCTCGATAAAGATGAAATCTTATGAGCCTTTGCTTGGACAGCGAGAGCCTCTCAATTAGTTTTCGCTGATAATGTTTAGATATTTAAATTTACAGAATTCTCTCTTTTCTCTCTATCTGCTACTGTTCCAGTCATTTTGAGAGGCAATCATGTTTGGCTAAATAAGCAGCTTGTTCAGCTCCTGAAAAAATCTAATATATAAAGAATCTAATATATAAGGAAGCGTAAACGCAATTCAAAAATATGCAAATAGCGGAAAACCGCGTGGTGGTCCCGAAGCGCGCGAATGCAGTCCAGCACCTTTATTTATTGCTTCACTAGTATCACCAAAATTTTTGTTCTTAGGGCTTCACTTTGTAGGCTTTTTTACTTTCCTTGCAGTAACTCCAATGATTGAGACTATGGTCATTTATCCAATCGTCCTGAGCTTGATGAAGCTTTTTCCCCCAACCATTTTTCTTATATTCGTATAATGAATGTCATAAATCAGCTATAGCTCTAGTTGCTTACGTCAAAGCTTCGGCCTTTGTATAATTCATCCACTTTCAAGTACACATACTTATACATATGGAGGAGTTCATGTTTTCCATCGTCTAACGCCTACGTAGAACATTTGTACTTTCCTCGAAAGAATAGAGCGCTTCCACAGCTGCAAGCGCTTTTTTTCTCTTTGGCATTTATTTCTGCCATGACAAGACACCTGCTTCGCTTGCGTTTTGTTAAACATATGACATTTGGTACCAGTCTTTATTGACGCTGAATATCTGATGATGAAGTATCAAAAAATGTTTGTAACTCTGAGAAACTTGTTCTGTTAAGAGAGGGATGGAATGGTGCGGAAAGGGGGGGGGGGAATAGGAGGAGGGAAGTTAATCATCTTTTCTCAAATCATTCGTCTGAGAAAGGAGGGGGGGGGGGGGGAGGTCCTACGAGCTTTTTATGCATTGAAGTCTCACCTAAATTATCCGTCAGGGAAAGGGGGAGGGGAAAATTTTTAGAAACAATTTATGCATTTAAATGCTAGTCCGCAGTATTTAGACGCTCAAGACGTGGAGACTTTACAGTTAGGACTTGTGCTTTTTATTGTCATAAACTATTTTTTTGTTTTTGAATACTTACTTGATTTCCAGTTATCCTTAACTTTTCAGATGATCTCCAAATCTGCAAATTTTTTGTAACTTCATTTTTCCAATTTTACCTGGTTCTCAGAGGTTCAATTGAATTTAAAAAATTTCATACTTCTTCTAGCTTCGACATAATTTGTTCTTCGAAAGCCATCAAATTTTGGCCTAGCTCAGAAATATCTATTAGCAACTATTTCTTCTTTTCACAGGTTTTCCTATCTGTTTTCCTGCTGGGTCCAGAAAGTGCTCTTAAATGTTTATTTTTTTACATCACATGATTGATGTTTTTTGCACTCTAAATATGTACCAAAGCCTTGGAATCTGCTTACATCGTTGATTTTCTCTATTTTACCTTGATTTCAATGTTTTAGAGTGATCTACTCTGGTATGTCGTCGTCAGGATCAAGTCGGCTATGGGTCGGCCCATTATTGCTCATACTTGTCATAGCCTTGATCTATATATTCAGTCTTATGCCGAATACACCACCTCCGAGAGTGAGTCTATTTTTCTGCAACAAGTCTTTCATTTTCTTAGACTTGATAATTTTAAGGAGTTTTTTAAAGGATTTGTATAGCAATACATACGTCTATATCCATATTTTTTTTTCGAAATGCTCTTCGAAAGCTTTTAAAATGTTAGTCTGGCTTTTATACTGACAGTCGAAAATCCCGAATAGTCAAGTGATAGTAGAAGCTATAACTAATTCTCCCTGGAAAATCATGAAAAATAACAAAAAAACACGTTCTTTATGGAGGTTTGTATGTCAAAAAAAAACTTACTTTTTGGCCAACCTAGTAATTTACACATTTCAAGCTTTAGGTTTCCTTACTCCAATATTACCGTAATTTTTACGTTTCAGGAGCTTACACCACTTATCGACGACGCTCATCATGTCCGTACATTCCGCTTAGGAGATCATGAGATTACCGAGTCGTTCGATGATTTGAAAGCCGATGTTCCACGTGGGCGTTATAGCATTTTTTTGCTCTTTTTGAAAATATTTTTCTAATTTGTCAAAAGACAGTAGAACAATAATTTAGCAAAGATATGGGCCGAAATTTTTTTCAAAAATTACGTTTTCTGTTCGATGGTTTTGTGGAAATATTTAGAAATAGCTTGTGCAGTATTCCGTCAATTAATAACAAATTTGAATTTTCAACTCATGGGAAAATCTAAGCAAATGCAACCTGGGAATTGTAAAAGTATTACTGAATTTGTTTTCAACACAAATTTGCATCGAAAATTTTTTTCTCTACCATTAACTATCATTAGAATAAAATAGAGTTACAGAAATTATAGAAATTTTTGCATACATAATATATAGAAATAAAACTCTTCTTGAAAATGTTTTTTAGCAGAACTTCTCTCATCATCGTGTCTAAATGGTGGTTTTCTAAACGAAACCGATGGTGCTTGCGTTTGCTTACATCTATATAAGGGTGCACACTGTGAGATTCCGGTAAGTCCACTTTGCCCTGAATTTTTCCCTTTCTCCTTTCTATCATCAATTATAAATCAAGCCATTATTTTATGTTCTTCGCTTTTTTTATAATTGTGGATAATTTATGATCATTCTTCAAGATTTGTTCGAAATTCGGGCGATATTCGGAGAAAGAAGGACGATGTGTGTGCGAAGGTGACTATGTTGGCGATCATTGTGAATCACGTTGTCATGGTTGGGTCAATCAAACAACTGGTGGGTTATTTTTTTTCTGGACTGAGCCATATTTTTTTATATGTTAGTAGATCTGATATCAAGAGTAGTGCTCCTGCGGAGGTGACAACATTTGCGCGAAATTAATTGCTGAACATGTTATTACTAACAACTTGCTTGCGATATGCTTGCAAGAAATGGAAATGGCCACAGAGCGTGCACTGGTCGTTTACGCGCAAGTGTTGTCGGGAGCGCAAAACACTACATTTGTCGTCGAATTTCGGTAGGTAACTGTGATTTCGATCATCAAATAGTGCACCTGTTTTTTTTTTCAAATTTTTCGCACTGAGTAGATCGCGTAATGAGATTTTTCATAGCGATTCTTACATATTTTACAATTTTTTTTGTTTGACTGAAATTTTTCTTGATGTTCATAGATTAGATCTACTTTTTGAAGTTTGGAATTTACATAATGGTGTGGTATTTTTCATGCTTTTTCGAGGGAAGCACTTTTTTTGCTACCTATTTCTAAGAAAACAAGTTTCTGTCAGCAAGTACTCGTAAGGCTAAGGTGACATCCTAATGGACCTTGATCCTTTATTTCGAATGTTCAGGTGAATGCCAATGTTCTGGTCGACTTTTCGGCAAAGCATGTGATTTGGTTTGCGTCGAAGGTCAAGTTGTCGATGGTCGATGTCGATGTAGGGAAGGTAAAGTTTTTGACAATTAAACAACCCCCCCCCCCTATTGAAGTTTGCAATTGTATTAGGTTGATGCAAAAGGAATGGCCGATTTGCGAATTCTCACTTTGATGTGCTATAACTTTCTAAAAAATCCACATTTCTGAACGCGGTAAAAACCCCCAGAAGCAGCAAACCTTTCCCAATACAGCGCATACATATGTATACTCAAACCATAAACGGGAAGAGAAATACGGACTAAAAGACAAAAAAGGTTCTTCTGCGGGAACCTTGTTTTCGACAATTCATAACTTCCTTCAATGTTTCTTAGTATAAATGATAAGTGGCCTATCTTGTAGCCGCAAGCCAGTAGTACAAAATACAATAAAATGAATTCGGACAAAAAAGTTTGCGAAAAAGAAAAACTTGGAATTTAAAATCTCTCAATTTTTTTCAACATTTTTCAGTGCGCTTTAAAGTCCGGGATATAGAATTTTCTGATTTTTTACGTACTGAACAGCTGGGTGTTTTTGCAAAAACTGCTGATAAATGCCCTAGCTCTACGCTTACAGAATTGAGCAAAGCTTCGACGACTGACTTCCTCAGAAGAAAATTATGGGTCATAAAATGACCGCAACAGCTACCCATGTTTAGGCGCCGATATCTCAGTCTAGATAACTTCAAACAATGCATTTAAATATGCATAATGTAGAAAATTTCTATTACATACAATAGCTAAATTTTCGAAGAAATTCCATTGATACGCGCTTAAATTCTGGCCGGAAGAGTGAGTGCAATGAAGTTCTGAATTTGGATGCGGTTATTTGAAGCTCAGTAACTTTATAAGAGATGAGGATGAGAGCCTGTTTCAAGCACTTTTAGATAGATCATGAAAAAAGCTTTGCGACTGTATATTACATCTATTGTAAAGATAAAGTATCTATGGAAAAAAGTTGCCCTGAAAAAAAGCTTGAAAAATTGGCCATTTCTTTTGCATCAACCTAATAGTTCAATATATCTGAAATTTAAAAGCATCTGCCTACAATCAGACATATTAGGTTGGCGAATAGTTTATGTTACTTCTCTTTTTTTGATTCTGGGAGTCGATGGATGCTTCTTGATAATCACAAATGCTCTGCGGGGTGGCAAATCTTTATTTTTATAATTGAAAAGCCTCTCTGCTTCTTCTTGTGTTCTTTGCAGTTCATTTTTTTTTGAATTTTGTTTTCGGCGCCATCTTTTCTGTGGAGTTACTTAGCATTTTAAGACAAAGAGTGAAAAATCAGGAATTCTAGAGGTTTCCGAAAATTCCTATATGTACGTGCATCATATAGAAACTGATTCGTGAAGCTTATTTATTCTTGGAATTTTTCTCCAAAAAAATCTCCTTTCAAAATGTTAGTAAAAAATGCGACAAAGTCATCCATCGACCTAATCAGGGGACGTTTTCTTTTCTTATAGGAATGAATCCCCTTTTTATTGTGATACCAAAATCTCCTCGCTTTCTAGGCTACATGGGTTTGTCTTGTGCCACATGCGATCCTACATCTGGTCGAGAATGTGAAATTCCTTCAAAACGACGAGGTGCAGTAAATTCTCGACTCACTTTGAGCGGATTGTCATTTTGTATGATCACGATAGGTCTGCTCTGCGTTACGGCAAGGTCTGTTCTTCATTATCTTACTTTGAAATTCATCCATCAAAAATTTTTTCAGAAGGCGTCGGGCTGGACCACTTCCACCATCAGAAGACACCTGGTACAGAGTGTTCCAACCGGCTCAGTCCAGGGCTGCTAGGTAAGCTTTCTATACACATAGGTAGGAGCTCGTCCGGGAGAAAGATCTTGAAGGTGTCGACATGATTTGATGTGTGGAAATTCATGGATGCCAAGAGATCGAGCGCTTCTTGTAGCTCCCGGTAGAGCCGCAGTCGTGCACGGAAGTAGAAGTTCCAGGTAAGTAGTCAGTAGAATAAGGAAGGAATACGCCATAAGGCGATGTCCCACGGACTACCGTTCCTTTTGCAAGTGCTGCTGCATACCCTGCAAGGAGCAGTAGTCTACGGAGACGGCTTCTTTTAATAGTTCTTTCATCCCTTAGTAGCGTCAACGGCACCGCTCAAATCCGAGTTTGAAATTTTGATGCAGTACAACTAGATGCCCTCAAATAACTATTGTCCGAGTCCTACCGCAAAAGGTGTAATCAGAAGCGAGAAAATCGCTAGAGAAGTTGGATGCTGCTGGGGTCGCCACGCCCATCAACGTGGTAGCCTAAAGGCAATGTCCCCGAAGCTGACTGCAGAATACCGACATGTCGAAACTTGTTTTTCGGAAGAACAGAGGACGTCTTTATGTTCTAAGTCCAGTTTTGGGCTCAAAACCTTCAGACCACCTACGTTGATGGGCGTGGCGACCTCAACAGCACCCACACTCTCTAGCGACTTTCTCACTTTTATATCTCTTGCAGCGAGACTTAGGCATTTACTTACAATTAGTTACTGCCCGATAGTGCATCAAAATCTCACTAAACTCAGATTTGATGGACGGTGCCTATAGTGCGTACGTTATCGCGTTAAAACCGTATTTTCAGTCGCGGACGACATCTTGCGACACCACCACCCAGCTATACTTCTGTCGATAATCTCACTGATGATCAAATGCCGCCTACCTACGAGGAAGCGACACGAAATTTGGAGAATTCCCCAACCAGTGCAGCCTTGATCCAGGAGCTCATCGACGAAACAGTGCAAACTGCTGAGGCTAAGGAGGATTCACCGGACGTTGCCGAGACGAGCGCGAATCGCACGACTACCACAGCCGAGACACAAACGACGCAAGAAGACGAGAATGCGAATACCACGACATCTTTGTCTAGTTCAGTGTGATCTTAGCCAGGAACTAATTAGAGTATTTTCTCGCATTGGTGTGATGATATCTGCCAGGCTCAGGCACTTTGGTGAATGCATTGCGCAGGTGGACAGCTGGCACAAAGTTAGGCAAGCACAGTTAGGGACAGCAGGCTTATGTCAAATTAGAACCAACTAATTTTGAAACATCCTTTCAGAAGAAACCCGCCGACCCCCCTTGCTTTCTTTGTTCATAAAGTTAAATTCTTTTCTCATTGTCTAGGCTACTATATCTCTATAGTGAGCTCGCTTCACTTTCGCAAGGTGGTTCACTCTATCCTCTTACCCAGTTTAGGGTAAAAGTTACGCCAACATTGCCGTACACTTCTCTCTAGCAAATTCCTGGGGTGCTCGTTGTAAATACATTTCCATGCGAGGTTTTTATAGAGCTGGTATTGTACTTTTTACTTTTTTATATGTTTTCATGTTCAATTACCCAGTAAGAGATTAGCCGTTATTGTTCAAACCACGCAGTACACTTGTCGATCAACTGTTTCGATTATTTTGACGTAATTTTGAGCTAGCAACAATTGTTGCAAATCGCAAACACTGTCGTGAAATCAAACTAGTCAAATGAGTGCCCTATGGGTTTTTTTTATTGTCCCCTCGTTGTTGTCGTATTGCTGCTAACTTCTCTATCGCTGGTCATATTTGTGACGAGATCAAATTGTATTTTTTTACTGATTTACGGGTCAATAGAATGTTTATCTTATGAAGAACTGTTACGAAACATAAATATGTGACTTAAGTTTGTATGATACCGAAGCTATGGAAATAACCGCCGACCTTATGTACCACGACCGCCCCTAATTCTACGTGTATCTGAAGTAGTGAGGAGGATAAAGACAGCGAAACTCGGGGCCCAGACTATGGTGTGTTTGAAATATTTGCAGACCAGAAAAGAACATCATTACAGCTACTTTGATACCTAGATTTGGAGTTTTGAGGACCACGAGGATTTGTTCATGTTTTTTGCAAATGAAAGTCACGTTTTTAAATCTGTTTATGTGGCAGCTACCTTACATGACAAGTTTCATAGTAAAATTATGTTATCAAAAAATGCCACAAAATGGCGCTTATGCATCGCTTACAAACGGGTCAAAGACAAACGTTTGAAGTCACAAGACATGAGTATCAATGTATAGTATGCATATAAGTTACGAAAGTGAGGGATGAGTGGCGTAGCGGCGTTGCCCCGATATCACTTGCTGTAACAAAGTTCCCGATTCCATGCCTCAAATTAAGCCACGCCTTTCATCCTCTAAGGACGCTTTTATATCAGCAATCAGGGATAAAACGCAGTGGATTGCTTAAACTTGACATCGTGAAATCTTGGTATGTGGATTGCTGACCCCGCAAATATGGATACATCCGCTCGCGCAGCATGCTCCATCTGCCAGCAAAATTGCTCTTGAACCATTGCGCGTAGCCCAGTTTTATGCGAACTCTCAGAAACCGAACTGAACTTCGTGTCCACTTCACAGAGGTTTAGTTTTGAAGCTGCTTTCACTTGTGTACTTCCACTTCTCTTTGCCAGGTTCTGAACGTTTTCTCACTCCTCATGATTTGACAGGTACTTGTTGTTTGTCGATTTCAAACCATCAATCAATCGCAGTGCACATGGAAAACTCTGTGCTTCGAACATTTTGTGATGAATTACCACACATGCTTGTAATAATTGGCTATTTTACACGATTTACAGTGTTGGAGCAGAATATTTGCCTGTAATTTTCGCAGCTCCGTTCTTTGAAACTGCAGCCTTCAGCAGTGAAATAGTTCAGCTTATAAACTGTAGATGTTACATTTCTCTTCAAAAATACACACAACACGTAAAATGAATTTGAGAAGAACGCAAAAAATTGGCGCGGCAGCGGGATTCAACACTCAATGGCCATGGGTGAGTCCAAGATACTATTAATAGAGGGCGAAGCGGTTGCCACTCCGCTTCTGTGGCAAGAAAATCGCCTCAATAGTTCATGCTTCACCCTTCAACAGAGGTGCGATAGGGGGAGCCGGGTCCCCCAAAAGTGAAGGTGGTCCCTGCTACCACTGGCTGCCAAAAGTGAAGGTGGTAGTGCCGGACACTCACCTCCCAAAAATGTCGACCGGGGGGGGGGGTGGTCGCAGGCTACCACTGGCCAGCAAAAGTGGGTGGTAATGCTGGACTCACCTCTCAAAAACGTTGACCGGGGGTATAGAGGGGGAGGGTAGGGAGGGGGGGGGGGAAGCATAGAACTGAGCTATCCTTTCACGTCGTTGCCGGCCGCGAATGCCTTCACTTTTGGGTTTTGATTTTTTTTTTGCTGAAACTGAAAAAAAGGAAATTAAGCAAAACGAACGCAAAAGAAAATATTGAGAGCATACTCTATGTAGTTTACTTTTAGGAAGTCGCCGTCGCCCACTGCGGCACCTGGAGGCCATCACCGACATGGACGCATATACGCCTCAGCACTTTCTCCGATAGAGCAAAGCTTCATGATGACTTCGGATAAATGAAGAGCTCTAACCCAACGGTCCTCTTTAGGGCCGATAACTGTAACCCAACGGCCCTCTTTAGGGCCACAAATACGATGAACACAGCGGCATAAATATTCGAAATAAACGTGTCAATGAAATGGTGTATTTTGAAGTGAAACTCAACGACACTCTACAGATTTTATTAAGTAAATTTAGTTATGTCGTACTGCGAAGAAAGTAGGTCGATCCAGGAAGTATTTGCCGAGAACCAGAATTTTGAATGAAAAAATAACCAGAAATCATGCAAAATTGCCACTGTTATAAACCAAGTGGTTGAAGATGTCAGCAACTGCGACTTCATAGGTTTTAAAGGGTAAGTGTTGCTCTAACAGATAGTGAAAAAATCGGGTCGATTTGAACAGTGGTCGCTGAGAACGAGAATTTTGAAAAATTAGGCGATTTTAGGCTAATTTTTGACTGCTGACATTTGAACTCCTAAAACTCTTGATTGTGAAGATGTGTGATGTTGCGACTTCATAGGTTTTCTAGGGTAAGGTTTGCCCTACTAGAGTATATCTTACCCGTACCAATTCATCAAAGCACCGCCGAGATCCAGGCTCTTGAAAAAGCAGGTAAAAAACAGCTTTTTGAACTTCAACAGCTCGTAACTTCTCCAGAACTGCATGAATCATGTTGCGACTTCATAGGTTGAATTCTTCTTATCAAGAGCTTTCAGAAGATATATAATATGTGAGGGTTTCGCGCCTCTTACGGCATATGCCCGGGGGGGGGGGAGACTTTTTAGGCCAAAGTCTCCCCTGGCGGCCTCCAGCCAATACATTAAAATGGGCGAGGGGGAGACTTTGGCCTAAAAAGTCTCCCCCCCCGGTCATACGTCGAAGAAGGCCCCAAACCCCCATATATCATATATCATCTGAAAGCCCTTGATGAGAGGAATCTAACCTATGAAGTCGCAACATGATTCATGCAGTTCTGGAGAAGTTACGAGCTGTTGAAGTTCAAAAAGCTGTTTTTACCTGCTTTTTCAAGAGCCTGGATCTCGGCGGTGCTTTGATGAATTGGTACGGGTAAGAAAGATATATTCTAGTAGGGCAAACCTTACCCTAGAAAACCTATGAAGTCGCAACATCACACATCTTCACAATCAAGAGTTTTAGGAGTTAAAATGTCAGCAGTCAAAAATTAGCCTAAAATCGCCTAATTTTTCAAAATTCTCGTTCTCAGCGACCACTGTTCAAATCGACCCGATTCTTTCACTATCTGTTAGAGCAACACTTACCCTTTGAAACCTATGAAGTCGCAGTTGCTGACATCTTCAACCACTTGGTTTATAACAGTGGCAATTTTGCATGATTTCTGGTTATTTTTTCATTCAAAATTCTGGTTCTCGGCAAATACTTCCTGGATCGACCTACTTTCTTCGCACTACGACATAACTAAATTTACTTAATAAAATCTGTAGAGTGTCGTTGAGTTTCACTTCAAAATACACCATTTCATTGACACGTTTATTTCGAATATTTATGCCGCTGTATTCATCGATCTGTGGCCCTAAAAAGGGCCGTTGGGTCAATTGTTGGCCCTAAAGAGGACCGTTTGGTCATAGCTTTTTAAATCGAAATTCGTCCCGAAGCTATCTTCTCCGATTTCGTGGAAAGGCGGAAAAGTGGATGCGTCCATGGCGGTGATGGCCTTAGCTTCCGATGGGTGACGGCGAGTTCCTAAAACTGCAATACATATGTATATGCCTTCAATAATCCCTTTTGCGTTTGTTTTACTTATTTTCCTTCTTTATATTCAACAAAAAATTTTTCGCAAAAGTGAAGGTGGTCACTCTGTATCAGCTCAAAAGTGAAGGTAGGGGGAGACTTGGCTCCCCCTATCGCACCTCTGCCCTTCAACTCAGTCCGAAGCAGGAAACCATGCCGAGACCCGGCCGTTGTAATGCTTTCTGGGCAGCGGCGGTCCTGCCACTCTCCTACTTTAGCAAGGACTAGACTGAGAGGAGTGGAACCTCCATACTTACGGTCAAACTACCTTTGAATTTCGAAATACGTACATTTCGGAAAAAAGAGAAGGCTTTATCGACTCGTATTATCTCTACAAATATGTAAAGCAGAAAATCTGTGTTCTGTGTGTCTGTTCATTTTCCATAGTCATGATGGATGAGCGGTGAAGCTCATGTTGATCTGCTAGTTATCAAGATATGGTAAGGACGGTAGAAAGCGAACCAAATACGAGTCGGAATTGAACGAAGGATAAGTTTCGCTACACGAGAGATCAAGCACGATAAACTGACTCCAGAACAGGGTGGAACCCGGGATGCCAGCTCGTTGACAATATATACAGGGTGTCCCAAAAAAATGTGCCTATTGATTGTAAATAACTCTCTTGTAATGAAGTGTTTCGAGAAGCTTTAGGTACGTTTTGTAGAGCGAGGTTAAACTTAGGTTTACGGTATGGAGCGAATCTCTATCGCTTTTCATTACTTTAAAATTACGGTACGAACTTCCAGCATACGAAACCAATGTGAAATATACCATCTAACAAAATTCTCTTCAAAAAATCTGAAAAATCGTGTATTAGGGTTTTCTCACATGCTGATCCCACCTAACAACTTTTTACGAGTATTTTCAGCTTTTTTTGAAGGTGTAATTACATTTCTAACAAATGCTGGGAATTGAGTTATTACGATTCACCGGGTATAACTCTGAAAAGAAGCATCACAGTAGAATGGGAATTTCAAATTCGAAATTAGCTGCTCTTATTATCTTAGTATAGGAGTTTCTGGCTTGTTTGGTTTTGTTCCGAGGCAGAATATAGCCCTAATGGCATGAAATCTTTGTCGAATTTCGTACCGTAATCTTACAGTAATGAAGGGCGATAGATGATTCGCTCCCTACTGTAAATCTAAGTTTAGCCTCACCCTCAGATTGGTACCTAAAGCTTCTCGATAGACTTCATTACAAGAGAGTCATTTACAATCAAACAGTAGGCACATTTTTTGGGACACCCTGTATGTGGAGCTGCCTTTTTAGGCGAGAAAAGTAATGAACTGCACAGTAAGCAAAGCATAATGAGCTCTACTCACATTCAAATGCACATGAGCGATTATTCTAGCTGCGGTTAGCATGAGAAAAACGTAATTAAAGCGAGCGATCTAACAAACATAGATACTTTCTGAACAGTATCATGCATAAAAGTGAGATCATGCGGGAACCATATACATAGCATTGATACTAGAGGAGACGTACAGAATTGACAATTGATGTGCATATCGCAGGGAGACCCAATGGAACGCTGAGATTGCGACACAGTGGAAAGCAATCTGTGGAGCTCTGAATGCATTTAGGGTCTTCTAGCTACCGGCAAGCATCACTTTTTCCGTATCGGATCCTTTTCTGAGAGCGTTAGTCGCCGCGCCACCTCAAAATGAGTGGGTTCCTTCGTATTACGCCGCGTACCGTACGCCGCTGCAGCGCAATGGAAATATGCTCACGGCAGCAGAGCTCCACGTTTTTTTTGATATTTCTCTATATTTGCTGCACATTCGTGTCCCTCAATAGTGTTCCTTCACATTATGCATTTCTTTCTCTCTTTTGCTTTGTTTATCCTGTCTATCCTTTGTCTATATCAATGGTTGATGGAATGACTGGTTGTTGTGCTCCCTCTACTTTTGAGTTTCACATTTTCTATCGTAACTGACTGCACATTGCGTCATCTGGTTGTATATTGGTAGTATATGATTGTATGGTTGTATGTTGTATCTGGTTGTATATTTACGCTGCGTCTCCTCACAAAAACATCGCTGGATGAAAAGGATTTCTCTTCTTCATACTGTTGGACTGCATTTGCAAATTTGATGCGCCGTTGTTGCCGCAGTTTGTTTTCTTCGCTCACAAAACATCATTCAAGTTCCGGCGCTAACTTCAGCTACATTATACAGTTGCGGCAAAAGAAGACTCGGTGTTTTACTTTCTCTTTGGGGTATTAATCTCACTTCATATTTGTCGTTCTCTTGAAAGACACCTCACTGTGCATATTTCCATTGCGCTGCAGCGGCGTACGCGGCGTATTATGAAGGAACCCAGTGAGTGTAAGTCGTTTCGAACCAAGTCCCGCTTCAACCAGGATTACGTGGATTTATCGAGCCACATAATCCTTTGATAGAGGTAGTTGTCCTTTGCAGCTGAAAATGTAATCTGATGAAGTTGAGGAGGAAGTGCGTCACAGTATTTACCCCATAACTCGCGTGCAGGATTGCTCATTTGATACGCAATCGTTCGTTGTTCTTGTTAGTCGGTTTTCGACTTTGGTTATGAACAAATTCCCCACAGAATCTCTTTGATACATCAGATGCGTGAAAGCAGGACGCAAAGCTCGCTGAAGCGTAAAAAAGCTGAAAAAGCGAACAGTAACATAGTGGCGGCTCACCATACTCGAAGAATTTAGACTCGCTACGTTGTCTACATTATGAAAGAAGCAACATCTATGAAATGCACAAAAAACCCGTTTGAAAAGAATCGAAGAAAAACGACGGATATTCGAAAACACGGTTTTTGCCAGCTGAGCGTGAAAGTAGAGATCAAGAGCTTCAATATGACATACAGTTTTTTAGGATCAAATTGAAACAACGAAGAAAAGGGTACCAGAACCAAATGTCCCGCGCCTCACATTCGAGGTAGCGAGGTCGCAGATCTCTCTCGGCGGGGTCTTAACCCCTAAACATTATATATCATTCTGATCGTCATGACATGACTAGAAGCACTGACGACGTTGCAAGACTTGAAAGTCAATACTATTCAGATTGAGCAGCATTCTCGGTTGCAACTCTCTGCGCAAGATTCAAGCGCAGTTTCTCCGTTTCTACTTCAACAGCTTTCGTAAACTTCTAGCACTCAATCGTAATCTCCCCTAGTCTAAATTCTAGGGGATTTTTCGAATAAAAACTTTTTTCAGCAAAAAAAGGTTATAAAAACGCAAATTTTTTTGTTTTCTGAGTTTTTTTTTAATGTCATTCACTATGCTTGCCTTTTGCGCATTCACTCCTAAGATATAATTACGTCATAATATCCGGGTCTTCGCCCGGACGATTTCTGTTCTTTTCCACAGGTAAAGGTTGTGTTCTATCATGACGCTCAAAGTGAAATTACCAGGCTACGTGGCTCTATGTATCGAAGGTATGCTAGCAAGCAATTACTGTGTGAAATCGAAAAGGTAGCACATGGTAAGCCATTCTGGGACTACTTACGCTGCGGAACTTATTTCTTGGAAACAAAGCAAAATACGACTTCGTAAACATTTATGAGTAAAGTGTAATAATTCCCTTCGCATACAAAAAGCTTATACTTTACTTAACTTACGACGATAACGCAAAAAGAGCTTGAGAGCAGAATCCCGACCGCAAGAGTGCGGTTAGGTCAATGTCATGTTCGTTTGAGCAGTGGAAACTATAATTTTCCCTTAACTCTCATGTCATCGACAGCATGTTAGATGGAACCACGTTGCTTCCAAGCCTGCTGAGAAACTAGTTTATATTCGAACGCAGGTTTTAAAGGCAAATTGTGAAAGTACCTCTAAGCCACGAAAAAAGACATAATTTGTTTATTAAAAAGATGCGACACAGCTTGACTAAATCAAGTGTTTGGCACCGTTGACTGTGTATTCAAATGAATAAAAACCTGGACGTGGACCTATGTTTTGGCCACCGCCTTCAAAAAAACATTTCTTTTGAATAAGCAACGAAATCCAGGCCCATTTCGGTCCGGATAGTAGGCTTTACTAAGCTGACCAAATTAAAGATCGATTGATTGACAACCGATTATGGCATTTCTTACGGTGGACTTACAGTCTGCTCCAATTAGGCTCAGGCCGAAGCGTCGACGTAAATTTTCGCGCTCGCAGCGCTAGCGGTCTGCGCTGCGCTGCATATGCGCACTGACGGAGAGAGCCAAAAAATTGAAGAGAGAGCAGAAAAGCGGCCCGTGGGCGTGACCGCGAAACGCTAGCGACGCGGACTTCTGCCATGCCAATTCTAGCTTGGTCGGGATTGGGGCAGACTGTATAATTTGGGCCAGCACTGTATAGCAACAATTTTTTGCATATTTTCAAAACCTCATTTGGCGGGAGAAAGATAAAATGATCATGGCCGGTTGAATTATGTAGTAAATAAATGTTTTATACTGCAAACGCGTTTAAAAATGGCATCGATACTCCAGCGAAAAATTTGTGGAAATCTAATATCGGTTAAATTTGCCCACCCAGTTTTTTCAAATCTTGCAAGATGGCAGCCGTCCACAATTACCTTTTAGCTTTCACCAGTTTGACAGACATTACTTCTACATACCAAAGGCTGCAAAATACGCAATAACCGAAAATTCGTGCTTAAAGGTAGCGTCCAAGAAGATATGAAAGTGTGGTTTGCAGGGACTGCAGCAATGATAAATTCTTCCCCAGTGGCATTGCGCCATTTTGCATCTGAAGCGAGAAAACCGCTTCAGAAGTTGCGACAGTGACGCCCCAGCGACCTGCCCACTCCTTCAGTCGATAGCCAGAGTACGTTACACACAGTCAAGACGTAGAGTCCCACCATGACTCTGCGTCTAAACCTCAAGCTTCTATATTAAAAACCAACGGCTCTTGGAATAGCCCGTTTTCGACATTTTCGTACCCTGCAAGCTGTATTTTCGCAATGAGCGGGAAGAATAAGCCCAGGTAAGCGAAAAAGACTTTGTTCAAAATCTGCCCGGACGCTGCTTTTAAAGAGGCTTCAAAGCACAAATTCTGACCCAGCTTAGCAGCCGCTCAAAGGAAAAAACTGTAAATCCTGGCCCAGGAGGAGAGAGGAGTTCTTAGCGTTGCAAAGAGCGCGCGAACGGGACGCCTCAAAGACAGTGGATCACCAAAAAGGAACCTTGTCAGATTTTTGTACTGTGAGATAGTAGATCCCCCAAGTACATAATAGCCTCAGTCCCACTTTCCAATTCATTGCCTAAGTCCTGAAACCGTACACTGAATTTGGATTTTCACCCAACTGTATGGGAGTTATTAATGAAAATCTGAAGCACGAATTCAGGCCCGAGGCCATGACCGGAAAGTGGGCTGGGGCTATTTTGTACTTTGGGGGTCCTATCTGAAAGAACTGAGATCTGAGAAGATTCCATTTTGGCGATCCACTGTCTTTCAGCGATGCGCTCGAAAAGTATCAAGCCGCTTAAGACAGGGACACTGTGTAATAAATTGTAACTTTAGCTAGCCTTTGCAGCCGATTGAGCTCTGCAAGGCGGGAATTTTGTATAGCATGGGTTGCTAATATGCGCGAGGGTACCAAGCCAAATTTGCAATTTTGGTCTTAAGATGGCAACTATATTTCAAGCAATGGCTTTGAGACATCTTAGGAAAGCAACATTGACCGAGCATGTGCTGCAGGTCGTATATTCCGGTCAACACTTCTTACTCAGAAATCTCTCACAAATTCTCTCAAAAATCTTGGACGTCATCTTACGCAGTCAGTGTCCAAATTATTCAGCCTTTTCTCGAAATCAAAAGCGTTAGTGGGTGCTTTATAGCCACTGACGCACAGCCCCTACCTATTCACTTTCCCTTATCATATAATAAATCGATGATTTTGAGAAGCGGATGAAGTGGGTAAGTGTGAAGGCATATGCCGAAGAAACATAAAAACTGTGCAGAGGTGATTGCATTTATTATAAAACCTGTCACACACAACAATCAAATACATGTACATGCGCACTAGTGCATCGCTTCCTTCTTGCACACGAATGTCCTCATTTTGAGAGAGCAAGGCGCGTCATTCCATTTTCGATATTCGTAATTTGTGTTGACCATTGCATCACAGAAAAGCTGAAATGAATTTCACATATCTTTCAATTTTTTTTCAAATTTTTTACACATACGATTTAGACAACGGCGGAGAACATAGGCTACTTTTTGCGCGAATTTTCTGGGCTTTATCGATTCACTAATTGGTTTACGTAATTTTGCGAAATTGAAAGCTTATCATGCTTCAACCGAACATGTTCCCATTGCCGTGTAAACGGGCGGTAAAGCTCATTGCAGTGGATCACTAGAATGCGGAGAATTAAATAGAGTTGCCCATAAGTCACCCATGATGTGAGGGGGGGGGTCTCGCAGACGGTACTTACAATACCGCTCATAAGTCAGGAAAGTCGCCGGAGTGCGGCAGAGTGCGCCACACTCCGCCGCAGCGCGCCGGAATGATCGTTAATTTAGCCATATCTCGCTTCCGAATGGACGAATTCTGAATCCGAGGACACCGTTCGATTCAGCTCGGCGAGATGCATCATCTTATATATGAAGTGAACGTCTGTTTGTCTGTTTGTCTGTACGTATGTTCCGAATAGAAAATTCCATTTTTAAACCGATCTGGACCAAACTTTGCACACATACGCTTCGGGCCCCGACGGGTGTCACAGGCTACTTTTCGTCATCAATCGATATCGATTTTATCGGTTTTTATCGATTTTTTGCAGAGTTCACCTACGGGGCCGGGAGTTAGCAAGGGGGGTAAGTGAGCATGGGGATTCCGGATACAATATTAGTTTGCAGAATTATCGATTATTATTTTGGTCGAATTCAGTGTGCTGATAACAGTATTACATTGATCTGTCGCTGATGACACATAGACAGTATGCTATAGGAGTATGGTAGAGAGCCACTCTGATCGAATTTGTTCTAAGATCTGCTCAAGATCACAATACCGCCCACAGAATGTCAAAATTTCCGTGAACTTCGCGGAATTCCGGGATTTCCGCCAGAGTGCGCGATAATCCGGGAAGTTCGCGACATTTCAGGATCCGCGAAACTATGCGAATCATGCAGAGTACGCAACGCCATAACTTCCTTCGAAATGAATATATTCCGAATCCAGAAGCAGCATTGTATTTAGACCGTCGAGGCAAATATTTTGATATACAGTATGCTCTCGACATTCCATTTCCAGTTTTTCGAATTTTTTCTGTGGAGGTCCTTTCGCAAGGATGTAACGCAACGTCTGTGTAACATAAAAGATTCCAGTAAACACTGTTCGATAGTACTGTCCTTGTAGGTTAATGCGTTCAAGAGTAGCTGCAGACTGTCTTCCAAAAGAGATAGAAGCGTTGATGAATTTTGGAAAAATCACGCGTTTCTGAATTAACGCCGTAACTTCCTTCGAAATGAACATATTCTGAATCCGAGAAAGCTTTGTGCTCAGTTCATCAAGGCAACTCTTTCGATATACAGCGTATCCTTGATCTTCCGACTTCAATATTCTCAAATCTTTCTGTAGACTATTTATTTTGTACGCCAGGAGGCGCGCTTCAATACAACAATACGCTTCAATACTTTCTGTAGACGTCTTTTCGCGAAGGTGTAGAGCAGCGCGCATTGCCCCTAGTAGACTTCAGCAAGGACCTTTCGATAGTACTTTTTCTGTAGGTTACGTAGCGCTAGAAAGTAGTTACAGGCATCTTTCCAATGGAGGTAGAAAGGTGTTGTCCCAAATTCTACTCGTCGCAACCCCAGAATACGAGGCTATCTTGCTAAGCAGATGTGAGTCTTGTAATCACCAGGTCGGATAACCCTTATGAACAAGTTTTCCGAGATGTTGGGTGATTTCATTTTTTCTTGTTTTACGCTCTGAAGCTGGCCTGTGGATTTTGCTCAAAATGTAGATGATCTTGAATTGTAAAGAAACTCCACTCATAGAGGTTTTCGAACACGCTGTTTATGAAAATCGTGTTCTCTGTCAAGTATAGGGTCGTTTTGCAGAGATACGGTGAGATGACTGTAACGGATTCACGAAGGCTCGTAACTTCGCCTCCACCTCTCACGTATCTGTCAGAAAACCTGCCTGCTTGCTTTTCTCACCAAAGTTACTAGGAGATGTGCTATCGAATGACGCATGACTCAGGCTCCATTCTATAAAATTCGCCGTGTTACGAGCCTACGGAAACAAGTTCTCATGAATTTTGCCCAAAATGTAAAGATCGCAAATTTCGTCGGAATTCCACCGTGAGTGCTTGTACAACACGCTGACCAAATCTCTTCACAATCTTAATGGATCTTATTGTGTTAGATTTGGTGGTTTGAGCTGTAGCCACAAAACGGCTTTAATATTCAATTGCTGAAGCACACGCAAGCACCATATTCAATACAGTGGAGTCATTGAGCGAAGCGAACATAATATCCGCAGTGCGAGTGTCATCAAGCACTCACGGTGGAATTTCGACGAAATTTGCGATCTTTACATTTTGGGCAAAATTCATGAGAACGTGTTTTCGTAGGCTCGTAACTCGGTGAATTTTATAGAATGGAGCCTGAGTCATGCGCCATTCGATAGCACATCTCCTAGTAACTTTGATGAGAAAAGCAAGTAGGCAGGTTTTTTGAAAGATACGTGAGAGGTGGAGGCGAAGTTACGAGCGTTCGTGAATCCGTTACAGTCATCTCACCGTATCTCTGCAAAACGACCCTATACTTGACAGAGAACACGATTTTCATAAGCAGCGTGTTCGAAAACCTCTATGAGCGGCGTTTCTTTACAATTGAAGACAATATTTTGACCAGAATCCACCGGCCAGCTGCAGAGCGTCAGACAAGAAAAAATAAAATTACCCGAACATCTCGGAAAACTTGTTCATAAGGGTTATCCGACCTGGTGGTTACAAAACTCACATCTGCTTAGCAACAAGATAGCCTCGTATTCTGGGGTTGCGACGAGTAGAATTTGGGACAACACCTTTCTACCTCCACTGGAAAGATGCCTGTAACCAGTTTCTAGCGCTGCGCAATCTACAGAAAAAGTACTATCGAAGGGTCCTTGCTGGAGTCTACAAGGGGCAATGCACGCTGCTTTACTCCTTCGCAAAAAGACGTCTACAGAAAGTATTGAAGCGTATTGTTGTATTGAAGCGCGCCTCCTGGCGTACAAAATAAATAGTCTACAGAAAGATTTGAGAATATTGAAATCGGAATATCAAGAATACGCTGTATATCGAAATATGGAAAGACTTGCCTTGATGAACTGAGCACAAAGCTTTCTTCGGATTCAGATTATGTTCATTCCGAAGGAAGTTACGGCGTTAATTCAGAAACGCGTGATTTTTCCAAAATTCATCAACGCTTCTATCTCTTTTGGAAGACAGTCTGCAGCTACTCTTGAACGCATTAACCTACAAGGACAGTACTATCGAACAGTGCTTACTGGAATCTTTTATTTTACACAGACGCTGCGTTACATCCTTGCGAAAGGACCTCCACAGAAAAAATTCGAAAAAACTGAAAATGGAAAATCGAGAGCATACCGTATATCAAAATATTTACCTCGACGGTCTGAACACAATGCTGCTTCTGAATTCGGAATATATTCATTCCGAAGGAAGTTATGGCGTTGCGTACTCTGCGTGATTCGCATGCTTTCGCGGATCCTGAAATGTCGCGAACTTCCCGGATTATCGCGCACTCTGGAGGAAATCCCGGAATTCCGCGAAGTTCACGGAAATTTTGACATTCTGTGGGCGGTATTGTGATCTTGAGCAGATCTTAGAACAAATTCGATCAGAGTGGCTCTCTACCACACTCCTATAGTATACTGTCTATGTGTCATCAGCGACAGATCAATGGTAATACTGTTATCAGCACACTGAATTCGACCAAAATGATAATCGATAATTCTGAAAACTAATATTGTATTCGGAATCCCCATGCTCACTTACCCCCCTGTGCTAACTCCCGGCCCCGTAGGTGAACTCTGCAAAAAAATCAATAAAGTCGATAAAAGTAATTGATAATCCTGAAAACTAATATTGTATTCGGAATCCCCATGCTCACTACCCCCCCTATGCTAACTCCCGGCCCCGTAGGTGAACTCTGCAAGAAATCGATAAAAACCGATAAAATCGATATCGATTGATGACGAAAAGTAGCCTGTGACACCCGTCGGGGCCCAAGCGTATGTGTGCCAAGCTTGGTCCGGATCGGTTCAGAAATGGAATTTTCTATTCGGAGCATACGTACAGACAAACAGACGTTCAGCTTCATACAGTCGCTTCATTTCATATGATCATGTGTGTCATTGCACACACAGTTCACCTTTGGCGTCCCCATCCTGGATTCGTGGGAGAGACAAGCCTTCAGGTAAGTGTTTCCAAGGTGTTCTTAGTATTTTCTTTCCTTTTTAGTTACTAGTCTCCTCAAATTGATGTAATCGATAAGAATCGGTAAGTCTTTTGCGTTTTTGCGATTGCAAATCCAGGATGAGGACGCCAAAGTGGACTGTGTGTGCAATGGCACACATGATCATATGAAATGAAGCGACTGTATATAAGATGATGCGTGCGTCTCGCCGAGCTGAATCGAACGGCGTCCTCGGATTCAGAATTCGTCCATTCTGAAGCGAGATATGGCTAAATTGACGATCATTCCGGCGCACTGCGGCGGAGCGTGGCGCACTCTGCCACAATCCGGCGCACTCGGCGTAGTGTGGCGGAGTGCACCGCAGTCCGGCGACTTTTTTGACGAATTATGAGCGGTATTGTATGCTAGCAACCAACACGGCACTTCCTCAAAGAGCAATGGATGGGTTAGACCGGGAAAGCCAATTAGTTTCACATAAATTCTGGTGATGGAATGACAGTGTGATTGAGAAGGCGAAAGCTACTGACGAAAGGAAAGAAGTGAAGCAGTGCACTTCGATAAACAGACAGCTTGTGAATGATTTCTTTACATCGAGATTCGAGAGGACACATACATGTTAATTCACATAGAATGTCATTCAAAAATCCGCTCAAAAATTACGCATAACTTGGCCCCATCCCATTATTATTTACATAATATTGACTTAATCTCCTACATTTTATGCAAGACTTAATTTGAAATGCCTTCTCTCACTCTCTTAAACACCTAATTTTTTTTCTCTCAGGAATATGCGCGGTCATTTCTTCCTACAAAATTCAATAATGCATGCCTTCTATGCTGCTTAATACAAGAAGACGACCTACTACAGTAATTTATCGAACTGGAATTTTCGACTATGTCCAGCGCGCAAGGTAGGTAGTAAGCTTGGCGATCATCTTGCCTACAACTCTAGGGAAGATTTTTAATGTGTTAGTTAAAAGTATACTCCACGCACTGGAGTACGATAGATATATAATAGACTAATTTACTAATTTTAGAGCTTGACTCGTTGCAACATGGCTCTCCAATCATATTGGCTTATACTATTCGTTTTCAACAACTGTTTTGTACTGGTGTTACGATGGGCATATAGGTACATGCAAAAACCTAGAGTTGAGTTGAAAATATTAGAGCAAAGAAATAAATCAGAAGTAAATTTGTTTGTTTTTTCTTTGATGCATTTTACGTTTTCACTGTGCTTATGAATATTACTCTAAAGCAATCATAGGTAACAATTCTATCACTTTCAATGATTAATTTGTGACCGTCTTAGAAGCGTCGAGGTTTAGCCGTACAAGAGTTATTTGGAATTAAAATTGGTACACATGTTTTTCGATCATTCAAACTGAAAATTAAATGTCGGACTTTCGAAGTATTTTCTTGAAACTTTGCTCGATGACAAATTATTATTCCGCAAATGAAATTTGGTATTAGTTAGAGGCAGTGGATCGGCACAACTTGATAAGGACAACCCAGGATTTTAACGCAGTAGGTTCCTTACCGTCAAATATGAGAACAGTGCAATCCCGGTTGCACAGCATGCCTTCCCTGTCGAGAAAATCGCTCTCAAATTTACACGCGCAAGCCAACCTTACACGCATCCGGACGAGTTGGCAACTTCCTACACGCACCCGGACGAGTTGGCAACTTCCTTCTCACTATTGGAGGCTGCAGCAATACTATAATTATTGGATCCCGCAATGATTCAGCGTCAAAAGCCTGGCCCCACTCGTCCAGTTCTGAAGGGAAGGGCATGAGAAACGCTCTTTTCGCCGTTTTCGAGCTTTTCAAAGTGCATTTTCGTGATCAGCGTATTGCATATTGAATAACCCCAGGTAAGCGAAAATTTGACTAGGTTGAGATTTGCCGAGCCACTGCCTTTAAGTGTCCGAATTTCTCTACGTTATGTACTATCGAAGGCGAACATCAAGGGAGCGGGATAAAAGGGTGTTGGTTATGGTTTGGCTAACTATGCATCACCATGTCACTTTGGGGAACTGTGGAACTTCAGTAATCACGCTCCTCAAAACCATGCTAAACCGCTCTCTATGTATATGTATCTTGACATAGAACGTTGGTCACGAAGATTCATCACAGTGAAACGGCATATTTTGTTTAAAATTTCTTTTATATAAAGGCATAATTCACATTGGCGCTGTATGCTGTAAGTTTATACTGTAATCCTACAGAAATGAAGAACGATTGGTGATCCGCTTTGCTTTGTGACTTGGTGGTCTAGTGGCGTGCGCATAGCGCGGCAGTTAGTTCTGAGTTAGCGCGCAGCTTTAAGCTCGATTTTCGGCTAAATTACTATAACCAGGTTTTCCCAGACGTGTTTTCGCGCAAAAGCACAGATCTGGCGGCATTTATAGAAACTGCTTGAAAAGAGTACATGTGCGCAATGCTCTGCTCCTCCGTAATCGTCCGGCTGATTTTTGGACCATGGTGTATAATCGACTTCTGTGCCGTCAGTCCAGGTCCACTCCTTACTGAGTGGGTGCTTTGCTTGTCTGAGGCCTATCCAAGTTCCTTTCCAAATGTTGTCCGCCGCAACACCCGACTTTGCCAACTCTGAAGTTCGTCCTTTGAGCATACTGCTGCTAATCTTAAGGTGAAAATTGAGTTTATTTACCAGTTACAAATTCATTTTCAGCAAAGCTATGAATGGAAGCCAAATGCCCTCCTTTCATCTCACAGATACCTTCAGCATCGTCAAAGTTTCCCATGTGATATGCCTGCAAACACGTTTCGAGTGATGATTAATTGTGAAACCTTGCATAACAAACAGATGTGCGAATAACTGGAGATGATATATTCTTACGGCTGTTTCGAACTACGTCTCGAATAAAATAAAATAAAATAATTGAAAAAGAAAATGGAATAAAATAATACAATAATGGAATAATCGTAATCAGCACATCAAACTATATCTATGAGCTCTAGAACACCCACCTTATAATAACGGGCCACTTTACGTGACTCATGTGTGTGTGTGTGTGTGTGTGTGTGTGTGTGTGTGTGTGTGTGTGTGTGTGTGTGTGTGTGTGTGTGTGGTGTGTGGTGTGTGTGGTGTGTGTGTGGTGTGTATGGTGTGTGTGGTGTGTGTGGTGTGTGGTGTGTGTGTGGTGTGTGTGGTGTGTGGTGTGTGTGGTGTGTGTATGGTGTGTGGTGTGTGTGATGTGTGTGTGGTGTGTGTATGGTGTGTGTAGTGTGTGTGGTGTGTGTGTATGATGTGTGTATGGTGTGTATGGTGTGTGTTGTGTGTGGTGTGTGTGTTTGTGTGTGTGTGTGGTGTGTGTGGTGTGTGCGGTGTGTGCGGTGTGTGTGTGGTGTGTGGTGTGTGTGGTTGACCACCGAAGGAACATAACAGACGCTCACAAACAAAACCTTGGCCGAATGCATCTGCGAAATTCCGTTGTTTAATTACTGACCAAAGAATTTCTCTGCTTACAACGGAGTCATTCTCTTTGGATAGATTGTCATACCCGTTGAAAGAAGATTTTCTGCATGTTCCACAACGGACACCTTAGACAAACCCGTATATAGAACTCCTCACTTGCAACCATGTTTACTGGTCTGGTATCGAAGAGGACGCAGCACAACCGTGGAAAGCCAGAATTGCCAACTTGCCGCCAGAAATCCCTTAAAAGCTGAACTGACTTTATGGCTGATAGCAAGTCCACCGATGGAACGAGCGCATATCAACTTCGCTGACCGCTGTATGGAACATGTACCTCGTTGCCGTAGATGCATGCTCCCGATGGCCTGAATCGTGGAAATGCAGTTGACTACGTCACAGGCTACCATGCTGGAACCATGAAGATCTTCAGCATATTTGGGTTTCCGGAAACAGTTATTTTGAACAATGACACTCAATGCTCTTCCCAGTCTTCCAAAGATTTCTGCCGGAAGTACAGGATAAAGCACGTTTGGATGCCGTTATCCCATTCCACCCGCAGCCGAATGGACTTACTAAACGCTCCGTTCTTTAAAAGAGGACCCTAAAGCTGAAAGGAGAAGGAAACCTTCCAGAATGCGAGGCTACTACACTGCTATCGCCTGTACGCTCTGCCCGTCTTCGCCTGAAGACGTTCGTTCGCCAGCCGGGATGTTCCTTGGACAAACGAATATTACTCTACGCAGGGAGGCGTGCAAGTGGTACCCAGGCAGCGACTGCTGTCGCAGCCAGCCGCCAGAGCTGGCATCAGAGCCGCCGCCTATGGTAAAATAATCAAGCTAGCTGTCTGAAGCCTCCTGCTGAGAAATTTCCTCGCACCTCGCCGCGCTGAGGTGCGATATCAGCCTCAGGGGCAGCGCTATATAATCATTATCTGTATCATTTCAAACAGCAAAAATTTTATGATTCATTGAGAAAGAGATGAATAAATTTACGCAGGGATTCCTATAGGAAAACGGTCATGAAATTCAATTCTTTGGAATAAACAGAAGCTGTAATAATTGAAGGTGCAAGTAGTTATCAAAAGTTCTTCTTCTGGGATTCAAAATCGGAGGAAACGTACGAGACATAACGACAAGAAAACTCTGTTAAAATTATTCAAGACATAGTTACGTTAAGCGAGCTGAATAAGCCAATTTAGGTCAAATATAGGAGCCAAAGAGATTGAAAATTGATAGGTCACTGATAAAAGGTGTAAATATGTCACATTTGCTAATATAAAAGAAAACAGCGTAGATCATTAACCCAAAATGTTTAATCTAAACAGCCTCCAACAAAAGCCTCAGGGTCAACAAGCACGCGTGGACGTGGAACATCCATCACTTCTCCAAGTACCTTATGATTTGACTTCATTAGCATTATCTCGAGAAAATTTGAAAAAAAAATTCAAAACTTCAAGCATGCTAAAAGTTAGGAAGATTTCAGTAATTTTCTTCATCTGCCTATAACTCTCGAACTTTCTCGTTTTAGATCATGGCAAAGGTACTGTAGCAATGCACAAAATTTCTCTTCCAAATAATATCACCTTCAGAATTTTTTGCAGCCCTGCTTTAGAAGTGTCATTTTGATTTCGTTCAATGGATTATCTCGAACTTTCTCGTACTAACTCACAGAAAGCCTAATGTTGTAAAAAGGATCTGTGCTTTCCATAAAGATATGAAGGAGTTATGATATTTTGAAAGTGATGGCATCAACTTTTGGACTAACCTAATATGTTGGTGTCCAAATTTGTACAGAAAAAACTATATCTCCCATTTTTTATTTTATGCTTTTTTGGAAATTTGCCGCGTGTATAGCTTTGTAAATGGTTGCATAGTTTTCAGCAAACTAAGAAGTTTTTGCTGTTTGGTACGATATAACGATAATATCGCGCTGTTCCTGGGGCTGATATTGCGCTTCTGGTGACGAGGTGCAAGGAAACCTCTCGGCGCGAGGTTTCAGACGGCTAGCGTGATTGCGGTGGCGCTGACGCCAGCTCTGGCGGCTGGGTGTATGTCAAGAGGTGCGATTCCTATTATCAGATGGGCAGCATATAGCACATATTTAGTGTTTTACGAAGTTCCAGAATTATTTGAAATTTCAAAAGAGTATATTAGAGAATCCCAGGAATTTCTCGATCTTATCATCTTGAAATCGATTCAAAACAAAATTGTAGAAGCTCAAAAAGCCATAGAAATGCAGTTAATAACAATTTTGTAATTATTTCGGTCAGTTTTCTAGCAAAAGTCGACAAACTTATCAAATGGTTACTTCAAACAGCTAGTAAGCCAATGAACTTCCCGGCACTTTTTGAACACTCCCATGCACGAAACTGAAGTTTTAAGTTGATGACAGCCATAAAAATCGCGCCTCTTGACCGTTTCCCTGGCGACTGGCTGCGGCAGCAGTCACGTTTGACTGACGCTAACAAAACACACCAACTACTCCTTGGATCGAAATCGGTGAGTACAACCGCCGACATGGAACCAAAAAAAGGACAATCCGAGTCTACGATGCTCTACGCTAGTGACTAGCGCAATTCATCGAAACCTACTTGGATCCCAGGGAACAATCGAGGACTGGGCGCTCGCTCTACAACATCAAAGTCGAGAGATCCTCATGAAGACGTCACGGCAACCAGCTGCGACCTCGTGCAGTCCCCGACGCTGCTACCAGGCTGTTGAGAGAATTCCTCGCCTGCCTTTCCGTTGGTGTTCCCGCTTCCCAAAAAAACGCTAATCACGTTGATGGGACACCACCTACTTTCGACATCTTTGCTGCCGATGCCGAATCGAATAGGATGCAGGCGTCTCTGCCACTCAACCATCTCCACCGCCATTCTGCCGCCAGTAACAAAGGACAATTGGCTACCACACCGCATCGAGATGGACCCATCGAGGAAGAAGTACTTGATCACTTAAGGAGGGAGACGGAGTAATATTTGTTTTATTGCTTCCGTTGTATCGACTTGTGATCTTCTGTTGATATTGCATTGATCTATACACTCTTTTCATATATAGTCTACCAAGAAATTTAGCCTAGTATGCGCAAAGTCCCGAACCACCACAAGTAGGAAAGTCCACGTACGGAAGTAGACGAAAACTACAACAGAAAACATTTTAAGAAGATGCACCATCAAACAAAAAAAACTCCAGATTTTCCTTTTTTACGACAAGACTAAGTAAGTTACTTGAGACAACACATTTGCTAAAAATATCGCGAACCCACTCCTCGTTGAATCTTACTCAGTAGGTGAGCTTAATTTTTATTAAGATCAAGTGCTGCGGTAACCGTGTGATAAATGTCAAGTGATGCTTTTGATCACACTGCTATTGCTGCAGAAATAGTAAAGGTAACTAACCTTTCGACACAAAAAAAAGAAAACATCAAATAATGCAACAAAAATTTCAGAAATGGGCAAAAGGTGTAGACGAGGTAAAGTATCAACTACAAGTCGCCTTGTATACAAAGCATCATTGTTTGAATTATTAGATAAAATAGGGATACTAGGTTGTTCCGAAAGTGCGGTCTGATTTGCAGATTTTCTAATCAAAAATGTTATGACTCTTTTTCGCAATCAACATCGCTGAACAAATTAAATTTTGTTGTTTATGAGTTGTAGCATATCATAAGCACAGTATGCCATGCAAAGAGGACAAACGAAAGAGAAAAGAAAATTTGAGGAATTCTGCAAGGTTTTCCTCGTAATCGTCTACTTTGACGCTCTAGTGCTTTCATATAAAGATAGGCAGACATATTTGGCTGCCATCACTAAGTAGCCTGTACTTTAAAGATTTTTTTATGGCTTAAGAAAATTCGAGTCATCTTTGCTGCACAGAAATTTTTACGAGCATAAAAATCATTATTTGAGCCCTCCTCCGAGCGAGCAAATATGCCGACTTTCCAATATTTGATTTTTTTGCTGTCGCGAACGAAGAAAGCTGACTGGTTGATGATCCCCGCTTGCTTTCGCTTTATGTTATGCAATATTGAATGCACCACTTGTCGTTATACGTAGATTGTTGTTGCTTGTTGACCAACTGAGTTTGTCTTTCACCTTTAGAAAAAATTGGAATAGTAAGAAATACATGTCGGAGGATTGTGCGTATGTTAGCCCACGAGACCCTGAGTCATTATGAAATACTATATATTAATTGCGGGAATACTGCAGAAATTCTCTCCTAAAAGTGGCAACTAGGTTTCGGGGGCTTGGACTTCTATGGGAAGTTGTTTCGTGAAGCATTAGTAAGCACGAAAGAGCAAAAAAGTACTTTCAGATGACGTTCAAATTTCTGAAACAAGTGCAAAACTTTAGGAAAATAGCTGCGCTAAAACAAGGCGACTAAAACTCAAACAGAACTTTTGGAACAACCTAGTGCTTTTTTAAATCGCCAAATTTATGATATACCTTATAGCAAGCATCCTTTCGACTGTAGTAAGCCCAACCATCCTCGCAATGCCCAGGACATATCGAAAGCACTTGAAAGCAATATCGATAAATAAGAATTGTTGCAGACAAAGAACGCAGAGAAGCTGCTACTTTATGCGTTTATTTTATTGAAAACATAGAAACACAATTACTCTAATTTCGCGTGCAGGGCGCGGAGGATTTTTTCCAATATCGATCAGCACAAAAACGCTGAAGGACCTTGCGAGCAAAGGACACTATACCGTGCTGCGTATTGCTTGAGAGAATATTGTGGCATAAGGATCTCTTTCCGAGATACAGCGAAGCGATATGATGTTTTCTCAAATGTTTGGGAATTTGGATTTTCTTGAATTTCGGCTTCGAACTTTTTGCAGAACAAACTTCAAGCAAATATTTGGGTGCTTCATGTAGAGCTTGCTTTACCGAGCGCCTCGCGTGAAAAAATGGAAAAGGTGGGCCTTGTACACGTGAAACTAGGATACTGAAATGGAGCTCAAAATATCATGCTGCGTTACGCTTTTCCTAGGCGATTTTTGCTTAGAATTTTTGTTTTCGTTGCTAAGCATAACGCTTCGGTACTTGCGAAAATTGTCATTGTTTCATACATTTTTACTGTTTTTACTTTTTTCCCCGATAGTTATACTGTGTCTATTAGAAAGGTATTGCGGTAATATTCAAAGAGTAAAGCAAGCTCTATATGGCACCCAAAATATTTGCTTAAAGTTTGTTCTACATAAAGTTCGAAGCCAAAATTTGAGAAAAAACTAAATTTCCGAAAATTTAAGAAACAATCATATCCTTAGTTTTTAAAACGTCGTACTTGCTCAGGCAAACCATATTCCATCTTATATATGAAACTGAATGTCTGTTTGTATAGGCTGTACCAACCAGCATCGGTTATGCGACGTCGCTCCTGCAGCAGCTTGCGACGATGCGGGCGATGCGTGCGAACTCTGTTGCGCGCAAGAGCACGTCGCATGCGATCGTGCGTTCTCGCAAGGCATACCAGCGCGGGCGCGATGCTGCTTGGTATAGCCAATATGTCTTTCTGTCTATTTGTCTGTCTGTCTGCACGTATATTCCGAATAGAAAATTCCATTTCTAAACCGATCCGGATCAAACTTGGCACACATACACTTCGGGGCCGGACGGGTGTTATAGCATAGGTGCGATAGGGGGAGCCGGGCCCTCTTCAGGCGAAGGGGGTGTCTGCTACTTCCATCCTTGTAAGGTGAAGGGGTAAGTGAGCCCTGAAAGCAAAATGCCCGACAATTCACATACCATTCGAAAGCTGAGCTCATGTAGAATTGACATAGACTGTCGAGTTTTTTCTAGGTCTTCTATGCCGCGAGAATGAGGCATTTTATTAGGTTGTCCCATAAGTCTTCAAATTTGAGTTTGCGCTGTGATAAATCGTGTACTTCTTATTCTGAATAGATATCAGGATATCATTTGATAGAGCAAAGCAAGCCCTACAAGATGGCCTCAGGAAATATCGAATTTAGCTTTTTTCGGGCTTTTTACGCTTAACCTAGCATTTCGCGGTAACTAGAGCTCATAAAGAGCTAAAAATTTAGGGTTGTACTTTTAAAAGCTTGTAGTATACAACTGTTAGTTTAAGAGCAGCACAGCATCACTTTAGTGAGAACATGGAAATCTTTGTTTTCTTGATTTCTAGCCAATGAAAAAATACAGCAACAGCACATATGAGTGTCTGATGCGAAGTGTATGTACGTGAGTGAGTAAGAGCTTTGTAGGACTTTTCAAACGAAGTAAATTTTTCAATTTTTTGGGCATCCGAAACTTTTTAGATTGGTTTCAAAATTGAGGTGGATCGAAGCTGGTGCAAAAGCATAAAAACCATCTTGTAGGGTGCTTTGCTCTATCAAATAATGTCCTGATTTCTAGTCAGAATAAGAAGTACATCACTTATCACGGCAAAAACTCAAAAATGAAAAGACTTATGGGACAACCTAATATGTACTTTATATATCAACTGGTTTTGTGCCCTTACTTTCTGCTCTCCAAATGACTGCTACGAGAAAATCGTAGTCTACATTTGTTAACGCTCTGTAACAAAGATAGATAACCAGCAGTGATTAGGTCTTCGATTGGCAGAAATCTGCTGTTAATGGACATGATTTCAGATAAAATGCAGTGTATCTCTCGGTAGAGGGGGCTAGAAAGAAGTCGACGGTCTAAGTCTAATCCCCTTTTGCTGAGTTTTTTTCGACTGGTGTATAGATTTCTGGGCAAAAAAACTTTCCAGATTTTAAAAAATGGGAGATATTTACTATTAGCTTGCTCCACCCAGCTGTTCGAACGCATTGGCTTTTATCGGTCACCGAAGCAAGTGTTTTTTAGAGCCGGGAAGCAAAATAGACCTAACATGCTTTACACCATTCGAAAGCTGAAGTCATGGAGATTAATCGACATAGGCCTTCTCTTTTTTCATAGCTTCTCTGTGAAGCGAGATACGAGCAATTTTATACGCTGACTCACCAACTAATTTTGTTCAATTATTTTGTGCTTTATTTTTGAAAGAAAGGATAAAGATAGAAAAAGAGAGGTCTACGTTTACTGGCAAGGTCTTGCTCTGTGATACTGTTAGACAATCAGGCACCTTCATTCATTCTTCACGCAGGAATTTCTTGACAAAAATACACATGTTTTTGGCTAAAATGCCATGTACCTCTAGTTAGAGGGAAGCTAGAGAAAAAGAGACGGCCTAAGTCGAATCCCTTTTTCGTGGGCTTTCTGATGGTATATAAGTTGTTAGGTGAAAAAAATTGTGGCCTTTCAAAAATGAGGTGGAGATACTCAATACTAACTTGCTCTACCCCGCTCCGGCTTTCCATGGGTCCGGAGCAAGACTTTTTTGGACTGGGAAAGCTTTGAGCACCAACACTTTATATATCATTCGATTGCTAAGAACACGAAGAATCAACGTAGACGTCTTTTTTCCTAGTTTCTGTGAAGCGAGATACAAGCAGTTTTATCTAGCTATAATATCAGCCAATTCTGGGTAATTATCTTTTCAAACCAAGAAATCTTTTTCGAACTTTTATACATGATTCGAAAGCTTGAAAAACGGATAATTTAACTGCTTTTTTATTTGTCATTATTCTCTCTAGTGAAAGGAGATATGGTACGATTATTGTCAGCAAACATGCATCCATCGCTAGCTAGTCCAGATTTTCTACTCTTGCTCAGCTCTTTCTTGCGACAGTGTGTATTCATTGATACAATGTTAATTATTCAAAGAATCAGACGTCCTTTTGATTTTTGATTGTGTTTCGTTAGCAACGCCGCTTTGAGGGCACAGAAGGTCATTGCATCATGCATTTTTTCAACAGAACGCTGTTGATTAGATAATCTCTTGCAGTCTTGATGTCTAGAGAGAAGAGCATCTGCTTTTCCTTTTCAAACAGAAAGTGCCGTTGTAACAGCTGTTTGATTCTGCCGTTATGCCTTGATTCTACTCTCAACCTCAGGTAAAGGGGTCAGCCGGATACCGGCTTTGAAATGGAGGGAGTCAGAGAAACTTTTTCACCTGTCGCATCTATGTGTCATAGGCCACTTTTCGTCATCGGTCGACATCGATTTTATCGATTTTTATCGATTTTTTGCAGAGTACCTACGGGGCTGGGAGCTGGCAAGGGGGGGGGGGGGTAATCGAGCATGCTGATTACGAGTACAATATTAGTGCGCTATTCGGCTATCCGGGCCCCAAAATTTTTTTGTCGTAGAGCTTGCTCAGACTTTGTGTATAAGGGTTATACATGCTAATACAGATATCACACTTTCTTCGTAGAACGTCTCCCCGTGTGGTTACGATAGGTGTACGGTAGAAAGTCAAAATCACGAATTCGGCTAGGGTTCGGTCCAGAGAACTTATTCGACATGCTGATTACGATTTTATACTCTCTCTGAATATAGGGACCTTCTCATAGAATTATGGTGGTTATACGGTAAGGGATCGGAAACGTAGATTTGCTTTCAAATTTATCTAGGGTGGTCATTTAGCGCGCTGAACATGAATATCATGCTGATTCTGCAGGATAGCGCCGTTTTCTTGGGTTACGGTGGGTGTACAGTAGATGAGTCGATGTTTCAGATTTGCTCAAAACCTTACCTGTAACGGTTCACAAGCATACTGCTTATGAATATGATGTGATGCTTGCTCGCTGTCATAACGCATTATTATGAAGTTATAGCGAGTTTCAGGGTTTGAACGGACATTTTTTCGCTTGCGGGCCAATTTATGTCCCAGATATAAGGAATGGGGAGACGGTCGTTTTGCATGGCGTCTCCGTCGCCGTCATGATGACCTGTCCCAACGCGTAACGTACGCGGCAAATCTCCCTCCCCCGTCTTTGCTTAGGCAAAAGCCGCCGAAGGGTGTATCGCGCGCGGCAGTGGTTCTATAACGAATTACGGTCGTGGGAAACTTTTTTACCACAGAGTTGCCTTTATCGTTGGGATTAAGCACTCTTCAGATATTCTTGAAACAGCATTTTAGGTAATTCCCTGGTAAGGTTAAAAGGCAGGTTTATGATTTTTAAACGCTGCCACGCGAAATGAGTACGATATTTGTCGTCAGCGGCCAAATAACCCCCACATACCGAGTTTGAGCAAGATCCGTCACAAAAACATTTTGGGGCCCGGAGAGCCAAATAGCGCCATCAGTTTTTAGAATTACCCTTACTTTTATCGATTTTATTGATTTTTTACAAAGTTTGAACTACGGGGCTGGGGTTGTTGAGGGAGATAGATGAGCATGCTGATTACTAACACAGCGAGAATAGGGAATCGCATATAGAAGCGCGCACAGGGAAAGTTGTGCAGGTATAGGAAAGGGACCTTTGTCGTTTTTGACAATGCCGGACGGAGCCGGTTAAGCCAGCTAGTATATCTATAAAGTCGACTGCACGAAATCGCCCGGGTAGCTGAAAGCTGAACGTATGCGAGCATGCCTGCAACGCGGCTGCCGAATATGAGCGCCATGATGGCCAGGGTCGAGTAAGAGGTGCGGCACACAACCGCCGGA